GCCCAGTATATACAAAGGGTCTCAATGACACCCATTGCGTCTCTTTTGTTTGCTGGGAGGCAACTGTTGTCTTTTGTTTAGGATGCAGAGTTTATATGCACTCAAGATGTCTGCTAATCCGTAAATAGCACAGCCTGCAGCTACGGCACTAGCCTGTCGGAGCTCGCTACTCGGCGGCGGTGCAGTTATCAGTTTAGTCTTGAGGTAACTACCATACATTGAGAGGTCCAAACCTTGTGAAAATTCGACATAAGAGAAGCTTTTGGTGACTTGAAGACAAGCTATATCTTTAATCGTACACGCCGGAGGAAGTTTGAATTCAATCGCACCTCCGCCAGCATCGAATATCTCTACCGCAGGTAGAGTAATTTCTTCCAACGTGACAGAGCTTCCAACACCAGCAAAAGCCCGAGCAATTTCTCTGGCACTTTTTCCTTCATCAATTTCTCCAAGAGGTCTGAAGTTGGTGAACATTGTTTCGTGCAACATATCCGGACCGTTGGTACTTCGAATCACGTATGGTTTGCCGTCCATGCCTTCGAGATACTCAATTGTATCAGGCGTAAAACCAGCTTGAATTAAGTGGTACACTTTCTTTTTTTCGTCAGTATCAATGAGATCACGGAGTTTCGCAGTGAACTTGTTGTACTTTTTATTGTTTTCAACAACAATGGCCTCAAACCGAAGATACTTTGCTGGATCCGACATCGGCAGAGTCAAACCAGATGCACGGGCAGCTTCACATTTTTTGGATCTTGTTGTGCTATTGTTAGATTTAGCTTTACCACCAATGGGATGAGTAATATCAGGTGGAGCACCTGTAATGATTTCGTCGGCAAAATCGCAAAAAGATTTTGCAGCGAAAACTCCTGTGTGCTTCACGTATCTTCTACCTCTGATAGTGTCGTGTACATGAACTCCTCCATTTTTCTGATTTGCCGCATCGCTACAGCCATGCATTCTTACTCCTGAAATGCATAGAGTTCTGTGTTCGTATTCCACCTTGTGAGGGCTACCAAAAAATGCTCCGATAGTCGGAGTGTCCTGCTTGTCCTTCTTAGAATTCTTTTTGGGCTTGTCCTTCTTCGTATCCTTTCTGGGCTTGCCCTGCATGGCGGGCTTAAGAATTCTGGCGGTGTCAACTTCACTACCATCTGAACACTCGTTATTTAGGCAGTCGTACTTCGACACAACTAGGCTCGAGTCGACCTGAGCAGATGATAAAAGCCAAGTAATGAGAGCATGCCGAAACTTCATCGTATTGGAAGGTGTATGGATTAGTTTTCTTCTGTGATGGAATGAGATGATGGAATTGAAGAAAATGAGAACTGGCGCTTGCTGTACATGGTACAGAATTCTGACCTTCCGTAGTCTACGCAGCGACGAAACTGCAACTCGACGAAAATCCAACTCGACGAAACTGCAACTTCTTTTTTTTTTTTCTGGAGGGAAAAAAATTAGTGAAGTTGATGTTTTGGAGGGCTCGACGAAACTTCGAGGAAGATATCGGTTATTATTGTTGTGACTGCATGCATAAGTACTACTGCATGGGCTTTTTCATGAGCGGTTGTACAAAGAAGTACGAAGTACGAAGTTAAGTAATACGTAAAATAGAAAAGTATGAGAATGTCAAGAAATTCTTGGTTTTCTGACAATCTCCCACCAGATTCTGTGCATCACATTATTGGTTGCCGTGCGCGCGAATCGTCTGTCCATCAACACAGGGGGCATAAATATAGAGGGGTGTGCAACGCCTGCTTTTTTAAGCATCAGGACGAAAAGATCCTATTCCTTACTATGGGAAAAATAAACTACAAAATCATGCCCCCGAATATTCGATTTCAAATGGGGATGCGAGCGTGGGTTCCGAAGGGCCCTCTGTGGAAATTGTGTTAGTTCCGGAACTGCGGCACGAGTACGGTAGCTCTCGGTTTCGTAACGAACCGCGCTCACAGCACACGGTCATCCCCATCTAATCTGGTACGTACTACCGGACGGGACGAGAGTATGGTACGTACAGGAATCTACTCGTACAAACAGGGTCTATGGCATTTTTTCGTTGGCGCACTTACGAGTACGGTACAAAGTACTTACGTATGTATTCGTAATGTAGAGACATGACATCACCTTTTTGTCCTTGACACAAGAGGCGCTATACTCCGAGTTTCTTTTCGGATGTTTTCTCACTCGCCTTCTCAGGAGAGTTTCCATTCGTCTCTTTCTTGGAACATCATTACGATACTTTTTTTTGTGAAGATTAGCATTGATTTAGCATCTAGCATTGATATAGCTTTAATCATTTTCATAGAGGATTAGAGAGAGAGAGAGAGAGAGGTAGGGAGAATATATATATATAGAGAGAGAGGTAGGGAGACTGTGAGAAGGATAGCTTCTTCGCCGACAGCAAATGTCGATCGCGTTATCGGCACCATGGTGGATTTTGAGATCAAACTTCAAGATAACAAKGTTGCAGAATGGAGCGATCACTACATAGATTATGCCGCACTGAAAAAAATTCTCAAAAGGGCCAAGATATCTCAATCAAAGTATGTTGATCTGAAAAAGAGGAGACTGGTGGAATCGGGAAAAGATACCTCAAGTACGAACAAGAATAATGGAGACTGGGATGGCATCTCCGTTGACACTAGCCTTCCGACAATATACTCGCAAGACGACTTTGTCAGTGTTTCAACAGAAGAGACGGCGCTGATGTCACGATCCCAAAACGCATTCGACGATATGACAGGAAGACGTTTCTTTGTCAAGAATGCTCTCGGTAACATTTCTGGTTTGTTGACTGACGATATCGAAAGTAGATACGCAAGGCGATTGGAGAATGGCCTCAAAGATTTGGATGATCGGATCGCTGTTTTCGATGAACTATTTCGTGCTCAAGAAAAAAAAGTGAAATCTTTTTACTATGAGACTCTGGATGATTTGGAGGAAAGATTGGAATTCATGACAACTAGTGTAGCAAGGGCTTTTTCTATCGACATAAATGAAAATACCGGGGAGACCATGACATCGCCTCCAACCCAGAGAGGTTCGCCTTTTGTAGCTCAACACAAAGGCCATCGCAAAGCGATTTCAATGGATGATGTGATGGGAGTTTTTCTGCAAGCAATCGTTGGTGATGAAACCGGCAATAGTACTCATAATTATGTGAGAGAAGGGACTTCGAGAAAGCATTTTAAAAGGAAAAACTTTGACAGATCACAACGAAATATGATACCGCGTCATTCGGTCAGTCGCATTGGCAATAATAATGATGCAATGAGTGATMAAAATATCACAAGACACAGCCATGAAGAGAAATCCCATGTGCGGAGCGTCACCAATCTCCAACTGGGTCACCTCTTACAAGATGACGACGAGGAAGAGCTCCATTTTCAGAGCATTGGTTCCCATGGTGAAATGGATGCTAGCACAATTAGCAATATGGAACTGGAAGAAAAACGTGCAGCTGATGCAGAAATGATCAAACGATTCCTCATTTCGCAATATCGCATAGCCAAGTACTTGCACAACTATGCGATGCTGAATATTACAGGTTTCGTCAAGATTGCTAAAAAATTTGATAAGACCATCCCTTCGCACGCGGGTAAATTCAAATGCTCCCTTGAAAGTCGAAATATGATGGATGATGCATGTGATGTGGAAGCTCTAACCAAGAGATACGAAGCCTATTACGCAAACTGGTTTTGCGAGGGTGATGTTCGAGCCGCAAAGGTGCAGATGCTTTCGAAAAAGGGAGATGACCTCGAAACAGACTGGTCTCAGTTACAACTTGGATACCGAATGGGTGTATGCGCTGTTTTGGCTGTCTGGGTTTGCTGGGATTGCGTTTGGGGCGTCGTCAAAAGTGGGAAGTCAACTATTGCAGAAAGATCTGCCTTTCCCATATTCCGTGCATGTGGCGGTCTTCTGCTGCTCCAATGGTTCTGGGGATGCAGTATTTTTATTTGGACAAGGTATCGGATCAATTATATATTTTTATTTGATTTTATACCCTCCACCGTTTCCACACCATTTGATACGTTCTGCGCAGCTGTGGACAACACATTGATTTTCTTGACTTTGATGCTGCTTTATTATAAGGCAGGTGTCAATGACATCCCTGAGGTGATTCCCACCGAAATGTACCCCTTGTTCCTAATGTTCATAACCCTATTCAGGCTTGCTTTTCCTTTGCGACAAAGACTTCCAATGTGGAGAAGCATATATAAGGTCGTATCTTCGCCGTTACATTCTCCTTCATTTTTCCAAACATACGTGGGTGATATATTAACGAGTATGGTGAAAATTTTCCAAGATATTGCATGGTCCATCTCTTGGTTGTGGGCAGGAGAATACATGGCATCCAAAGACTCTGGTGTAAGCACGACCCAAATGTGGTGCAACACATATTGGTACAAGAGTGTGGTTATACCCCTGATCACGATGATGCCTCTCGTGATTCGTTTCAATCAAAATTTGAGAAAGTTCTGGGATACTGGGGAGCGATTTCCTCACTTGGCAAATGCATCAAAATACGTGCTTTCGTCACTTCTCCCTCTTTTTGGAATATTCCATCCACTTTATCTAGAGTACGATCGTGGAGCAGRGGAAAATAGATTTTTCAAAACCTTTTGGACTCTCATTTTCGTCACGTCCTCCGTCTATTCTTTTCTCTGGGATGTGTACATGGACTGGGGCTTGGGACGACACAAATWTTCATTTCTCAATCAATCTTTGGTTTTCCCTCGAAAGTGGTATTACTATGCCACAATTGGAATCGATTTGGTTCTCCGATTCCTTTGGGTGCTGACCTTGGTTCCGCCTGACTCCGGTGCTTCTTTCGCCCTTCCCCAATATCTCACAACCCTCAGCATGGCACTCGAACTTTTTCGGCGTACTCTATGGGGATTCTTCCGTCTGGAACACGAACATCGAAACCATGAGCATGACTACAGGCGAAAAGGGTTTGTACCACTGCATTTTAACACTGGTCACCTACACAAGTATAAAGACGARAAAGAACGAGCAGGTTCTGAAGTCTTACGTGAGGTTATATTAGTTACCTTGATCGTGGGGGGGTTTTGCTTTGCAACCATCGCAGCAGCGCAACATGCTAACCAAAGGTTCGGGGAACTTTGATTTCCCAATTATGATCGATGCTTCTGTGGGATGTTATTGCTAGAGACTAATTTGATGATGAACGCTAATTTGTTCTCGTTTGTATTAAATAACCACTACTCCGATTTAATGTTCTTGGTTCATCCCACGATTATCAACTTTTATTTAAGTTACCCTATGTTTCAACAACATATATTGTGGCCAGTTTGCAAAAAAAAAGTATGCTTTGAGCGAAGTAGTGGAATCGTTTGACGTACGACAACAAAGATAAGTTGTTCAAATTCAAGGAATCATTTCTCATTCGTTTTCTCGCCGCCCTTCGCAAGATGCGATAGATGCGATCGATACTCGCTACCTTTCGCCCACTCAGATTGCGAATATAGTATCTAGTTTGCTCTTTTTTCATCCTCATCACTAGCTTCCTTTTTCTTTCCTCCGAACAGGCCCATGATTCCACCCATTACATCAGCGCTCTCATCAACGTAACCTTGGTCAATGTACGGGAGAAGTTCATCAGTCCGTATGTCGACCAAACCTTCACTGCCCAGACGGCTTGAAGTCGGATCACGATCCATCTCACTTCCAACCGTGATTTTCCCCTCGTCTTTTAGACGTTTCCATTCTGTAATTGGATCGTATCCATCTTGAACCTTGCCCTGGAATCCCCACATTTCTTTTTCTTCTTGTAATTTAGCTCGGTTGTTAGCTACTTTTTTCTCGTAGTCTTGCATCTTTTCTGGATTTCGGCGACGTTCAAGAATTTCTCTCTGTGCTGCCTCCTGCTCGGCACRTTCTCTAGCTTCGTATTTGGCTTTATTTTTCTTTCCTTCTTCTGAAAAAATRAGTCTTAAATCGTCAAAGATACTCATGGACAACACATGGGACGTGGACGACGAGGAAGCCGTTCGTCGCGATACCGGCGCAAATCCATCCACAAGTGCGATATTTGCAACCGCAGCGATCAGCAAAATCGAGGTGATGCCGAAAACCATGATGTAGATATTGCTATTACTGAAAAACTAAGGTGAGCAAATCAGGAACTGCAATGTTTATTTACCGACGGCGAAGGCCCATCGATTATCAACGATATGTCGTTGATTCATTCATCACGAACGACAAACAGTGATTCAGATCTTCCATCACCATGTCGTGCTGTAGTACTTTACTAGCAGAAGTAGCTTAAGAACTCATTCGCATCGTTGCTTCGACACTCATGTGACGATGTGAATCTTGCGTGGTTCATTAGGAAATCTTCGTGCACGACTCGAAATAAATTTACTGTTACTACGCGTTGCGGATTGTAAATTGAAACTAGGTTTCACAGGGCGTTCCTTATGTAAAATTTATTGTGTAGGCCTACATAGATCCTAGCTAGTAGTAGTATTATCCACATTTTTCATTTAGTCTTGTTGTTGCAAGTGCCTACTAAAAAAGGAAGATGCCTCCCCTGCTAACTTTCAGACTGTTAGGCAGAGCATTCAGGAGGACTAAAACGTCTAAATTGACTACTAYTTGTTAAGTCAATCTAGACTAATGGAAAAGGGACAGGATGCTGGCAAAATGCCAGTATTTTCAGGAATGTAGAATCTTAACTATATYTCTAGTAAAGAATGACTTAAAGAGGGCATCGATGCACACCAGCACTTTGGTACTAGTAGCTACAAGTCCTCTTTCAAGAATGGACTCAAAATTTTATTTGTGGGTTTGACACTTAATCTGGTCATTTTGGAATGGGGATCTGAGGGTCAGTCAAAAATGACTACATTAAGTCAATCTAGACGCCTTTTTTGTACATCTGTCTATCATATTAACAGGAATCACCCAATGATGCCTCATTTGCGTTAATCTAGATTGGCTACTAATTGTCWAGTAAATGGACTACTGGAGTCAATATAGACAAACAGAAAAGGGACAAACTGCCAGCTACTAAATGGCTACTAAATACCAGTCTTTTGGGGAATTTGGAATCTTAACTAGAGTTGACTTAAAAGAGGGCATTGGCGCATGTGCGTGTGACTTTGGTATGAAGACATTTTCTGTTAAATCTGTCAACGGACTCAAATTTTAATTTGTGGATTCCAGTCTAATTCTAGTAGTCAGTTTTGAATGGGGGTCAGAAGTTGGATTAAAAATGACTATATTTGGTCAATCTAGGCCTCACTTTTTGTCCATCTRTCTTTCAAATCTAGATTGACTAAACATCTAAATTGAGTACTTAGTAAGTCAATTTAGATTGACTACTAAATGTCTAAATTGACTACTTAAGTCAATCTAGACAAACAGGAGAAAAGGGACAGAATACCAGCAAAATGCCAGTCTTTTAGGGAATTTGGAATTTATTCTTAACTATAGTTCAACAGAATGACTAAAAAGAAGATATTGTTGGTTGTACAGATGTCAGCACTTTGGTAGGACTAAAAACTTGATTTGTGGGTTCTAAGCTAAAACTATGTCGGAGAGAGTGTTCTGGACCTCTCCCAACCTCGCACGACGCTAATTTTTAGAATATGCACCTTTCAAAATAATTAAATGCCTCTGCATGACTAAATTTGTAAAAACACACCACACAATTCAGGGGCATCTAGTTTCAGAAAGTTTCTGTCCACTACATCACCTGAATTTCCAAAAWCTTCTGAKATGACAAATTGAAATGAAGATTCTTTATCTATTCACTCCTCCATTCAAGGAGGTTAGGGATACATACAAAATCAATTCTGATCTTTGTTCCTTTCGTGATGTTTCTTCATCTGTACAGTGCAGAGCCCATCCTGCACTAAATCCGCAATCATTTGTTCCATACACTGAACAAAATATTTTTTTTGCACCAAAACAAACTTTTGTTCCATTGTTGTCAATATTCTTCTTCTCTTCATTTACTCATTTTATTGTTGTTGCTGTAAATTGTATCACTATCATGCCTCCTGCAACCAGAACCCCTATTGTATTCTACTGTTGTGGTCTTTGGGAACTAGTAGAAGGGAAGAAATTATAGTTCAAAGGCTATAAATCTCAATCAACTACTCACGTTGCTGTCAAATATGTCGCAGCAGGATTAAAAAGACATATCTTGCACAATTCAGAATGCTATTCTGTCTACAAATCCCAGAACCTCATTAAAGGAAGGGACATCAATTTTTCTACTTCAATTAGAGAGCAAACATCTATTCCTCCCATTCACCATTCTYCAACTGATTCTGGTCTGACAATAGTTGCRAACGGACCAAGTCTGCCGTCCCATTTCAAAAATCCTAATTATGGGCCGAGGCCTTCAGCAAGCAACATACACTCCATACTCAATAGACAGGTTATCCACAATGTCTTTGTTCCACCAATGGAAAGAAATCTTATTGAATGTCACATGGCCGCCTCTGCTCAAGACAATAATGACTTTGGTGGCAATGGAAACAATGATGACAGTAGTAGAAGCAGTGACAGCAACAACAATGGTGATGGTGATGGTGATGGTGATGGCAAATGTGCTTTTGACAACAGCAACACACACACACCACAGAAATTCTTGACCCTCCTCAAGCTGTGCCACCTCCTCTGTCACAGCCAACCAATGAAACCATTGATTTCAATCAAAGAGAGGAAGAACAACAAAATCACATGATSCTTCAGCCATCTGCCCAGCTTCTTGCAGAGGTTGAACTAATGAACCTGATGACTAAGCACAAACTTCCACTTGCTACATTCACATCAATATGGAAATGGGCACAGAGAAGTCAGAACAGAACAGGATTTTACTTCAGTGATACTAATCCCTGTTGCAGAATGACAATATTGAAAGAACTCAGGAGTAACCTTGGTATTTCTGACATGAAGTTTCACCTGCAGATAGTCAACTGGCTTCCAGACAACAAACCAACACAGGTGCATGTTAGGTCCTTTCATGATGCTCTATACTCTTGCTCTCAAACAAGGAGCTTATGAGGGAAGAAAATTTCTCATTTCCTGATTATATGACTCCTCTGTCTTCAAATAATGAACCAGAGTTGAATGATGATTCTGTAATTTCAGAATTGCACCATGGTACCTGGTGGAAAACCTCTTGGGATGAAATTTGCACCTCTGATTCACAATTCTTGTTCCCATCATTTTCTACATTTGATGGAATTTCTTTGGATGTACACAGAAGACTCACTCTCACACCAAAAAATGACACTGGGTATTTTCAATKTTGCAATGCGCACAAAACCAGAAGCTTGGACAACCATGTACTTTCCCCCTGATGCAGAATGGGAGTCTACCAGACATACTCCTCACCTGGYAACAGCAAAAGAATACACACTGAGCTTGAAGCAGCTCTCAAATGATTTAGAGATGTATGTAACAATAATTCCGGAATTAAATGGGACCACCTCTGGTATGCAGGTAAACAGTYGTGGAAGGTAGAATTGAAGTTCTCTATTGCATATATTTTTGGGGATACAGAATTGCATGACAAACTTTGTGGAAAATATGGATCCTTTAACAAGGGTGCGGTTCAAATGTGTAGGCATTGCAATTGTTACTCACCAAATATCAACATTCCTTCTGTTCAAGAAAATTCAACAAAGTGGACACCCAATGACTTCCACTCCTTTCCTGATGCTAATCCAGAAGCAAAGATTAAATACTTCAAGAATCAGTCACACCATGACATCAAGAAGAATGTATTTCATGGTCTCTGTTTTGGTTCAAGCCAYCACAACATCCACTTTGCCACACCTGGTGAATGTCTGCATATGCATCAGCTAGGCACTGCAAAGCAAGCTGTTGAGTCAATTGAGCTATTACTGCAGCATGGWTCTGTGAAGTGTGAGTATGGTCCAATGTGGTTGAAGACAGGTCTGTCTGTTTCTAACAAAATAGGTCATCTTGCTCAAAAGTATGGTGCTCTGTTGTCTCGCCAGTTGGACAGAACTGTACTACAAAGTAATCACTTGTTAGTAGTAGTAGTCAAATAAGAAGACTTCTTGCGAGTACTACTACTAAGTCAAATACTTCTAATGACTTCAAGGAAAGATAATTMATTATAAATTTGTAGGAAGTCCACAACTTGCTTTGAACCTGAGTCCAAGTTGACAAGCTCCAGATACATCATTACATCATTCTTTTTACTATGACTATTGGTACTACTAGTAAAATTATAATTTGTGAACTTTCTGTACTGCAGGTAGGGATTCTGAATGTTTCTACTGGACTGAACATTTTTTATCGTTAGTAGTAGTCKTAGAACAAGAAGTACTACTACTAGTAGTACTAGAGTTATGGCCTTTCAATCTGTCAGAAGAGTTAGCACCACCACCRCTAGCATGATATCACCAGCATAAACCTACATAGATCCTCCTACTAGTACTATACCCATTCTTCAACAATGTGTTATCATGCTAGCATCCAAAATCATTATTTTGGTCTTATTTTGTGGGTGTGGTGTCTTATAAAGGGGAATGAGAAGGGCATCCTTGCCTGCTAATACAATTTGGAATCATGTTATGGAACACAAAATTCAACCACCAGTACCCATTTCTCAAAAGGTAATTCAGAATGTACTAAAGTCTAACATTCAGAGTGTTAAGTTTAACATTCAGAATCCTGGGTTAAGGAAAGAAGTTAAATTCATACTACTAGTACTACTAGTAGTCTACTATTAGTTGTGACTGTAATTTTCTTGTTTGCAAGAACAGAATACCTCACACAGAAAGAACAATAACAAGAACAACAGGAGCAGAGGAGACATGTTGATAATTTATGGTTATTTTCTATATAACACAAAGATAGTACTACTATTGTTGAAGAGAGGAAGAATAGAGATCTCCATACTACTATCACCATGTGGAATGGTGCACAACCCTTCATTTGAGTACTAGTAGTACTACTAGGTGCTGCATTGGAATGGTTCTTATTTGGTAAAGAAGCACTGGTGCAACAAGAAGAGCAGGATATCCTATCCAGCACTTATTTTTCATGATGATAGCTGGTGGTGGCACACTCCTACTATAACTGAAAACTCTTAAAGTTATTGTTAAYGTCATGAACTAGTAGAAGAGGCACTATGACAACCAGAACCAATACATCTTCTGGGGAGAAGCAGGCTCCTAGCTGCTCCAAGAGACGGCACCTCCTCCCTCCAAGGAGGGGTTAGGGAGGTGCAACTTTAGTGGCACATTATAGAACTACTAGAACAAGAAAGTTTGGTGAATTCATGGATTTTTGTTTTCTTTTTGTGACATGATGAGAAAATGGCAGTATAGGCAGTAGAGACCTCCCCACCAAAACATACATCAAACAGGTCACAATATTTGGAATACACGGAATGATGATTTCCTTCCAATAGCAATTGTCAATAATTATTACAGCACCCAACGTCCAGAACAAAAGAATGCCTACGAAATATTGCAAGTCCGGATGTACATAACGATTCGTCTACACTAATTGAACTACGCATGGCTATTCCCAAAAACTATCAAAGCAACTAGAAATGAATAGGAGCGAAACGAATCACTAAGGAATGAAAGAGTGGTTTTTCAAAAAAGTAAAAATTGATGGTGGATTTATTCTTTTCCCTGATTCTTTAACAGCTGTTCACTCTCCAAACAGTTGCGAATCGATTCCCTTCGTTCGTCGAAAGGAAAAATAGTGCATCATGTCCAGCTGTCCTTTTAACTCCAGGTAGGACTCTGAGTAAKTGCTTCGAAGATGTGGTCGGACGTCTTCGACGATCTTGACATCGTCCATCTCCCGCAGGATGTTAGTCACCTTCGAGAGATCTTCGTCGTTGGGGTCGTCTCCCCTCCATCCGGAYACCTGTATCCCGTTGTCGTGGTTGAGCAAAAAGTTTTGGATGCGGTCGTCTACATGAACGATTCGCCGCAGGTCGTTGGCATCCCGCCCAACCCACTCGGCAACCTTAGAGAGAGGTTTCACGTAGGTTCGATCGAGATGAAACGTGGTGCACGGATCCCAGATGTCGACCGTCTCGCAGTCCTCCCGGTACCACCGTTTGGAAAAGGCATGGGTGTTCCCCACCAGTACACATAGCTTATCMAGGATGGCATCAGCGTACTCCTTCGTACCAGCCGTGAAAATGTGCGTGTCGAAGCGAGTTGTTACGAACCTAAGAAATTCAATTAAGCCCGGACGAAGAAAGACTTTGTTCTCGTTGACATATATGAATTTCGTTTGGTGTGGCGTTGCTGCATCTTCCTTTGAGTCGTCCTTGTGTTCCTCGTCTTCGTCCTCGTCTGTGGAGAAAGCTGAAAACGGCCATTTCTCATCTTGTTCTCGTTCTTCTGTTTCCAAATGGATTAAGCACTCGTCCATGTCTAGCACGACGATGAGATCGGATGGATACGATYTCTTGAATCGTTTATTCCCATTGCCGTGGGAGCAATCTATTCCTACAGTGTCGTCGACGTTTTCTTCTCCCTCCGYGTCGTGTTGAAAACCATGATGCTCTGAATCGTAGTTCACCGAAACAATATCGTCTGTCTCGATGGCAAGAGCTGGAATGAATGAGGAATCATCTATTTCCTCGCTTGGGCTGTCACAGCATTCGATCTTTCGTTTCTTGCTCACGCTTTTATTTACACCATTTTGTTTGTCGTCGTCACMAATTGGCACACTCACCAGTTCTGATGGAGTCGTTGGTTTGCTACTTCCCGTTGGTGACGTTGGCAGGGAAGAAGCTCGTGTCTCATCTTCAATCACCACTAGGTTCTCGTTTAATATTTTAGAAGCCATGGGATGTAGATCGTCGGTATTGTAACTTGATGCTACCATTGATGCTACTCGTACTGGTTTAGCGGATTGTATGTTTAACAATTCCAAATAGTTTCTAATGTCTTTATTGGGTACTTAWATAATTCGTCAGGGAGGAGTGAAATTCATTGTTCGTACGATCGTYGTCGTACGCAGGAATTGTTGAAGCCGTGAAAAGCTGTACCGGTAATTAAACGAAACCTACCAGTAAGATAACCGGAGGGACAAAAAATACCACACGGGTACCGTTACTCCACCGTAGTATTGTTTATTTTATTTTTTTCGTCCGGATGTCCAAATCATGCAAAACATGGACACGTTTTATGTCCACTTTGTCATGAAACTGAGCAAAAATTGGGGGTTTAATTAGTTTCGTTTTCACGACTTCTCATAAATACCTAAAAATAAGTTTCAACAGGATAGAATAATCATCCTATATCGCGAATGCGCGCCTGCGCATCCAATATCACGGACAACAGAACTTAGGAATTCAATCTTTTAATTCCTACAGTTCCTTCCAAGCCGCTGCCAACTCAAACAGAACTTTTGGACTGTCATAGAACATACCGTAAGTGGTACTGTACGAGTTGGCCACGAAATGGATGACTCTTGTTGACACTTTCCTTCCCTCWTTCAGCTTCCTTGCAGCTTTCAGGTACCGTACTCAAAGTACGTTTGTCTGTACGAGTAGTCGTACATACAGTCTTGTTTTATTTTTCKTACGGTTTTTTGTTTTTTCCACAATGTACACCGTACGGTACGTTGTTTTAGTTTACAGTACTGTTAGTATGTACGAACGGTAGTACGTACCGCGGAGYAGGGGTCTAAATTATGACCCCTGCCGCGGATGAGTTAGCGTAAAACATAATAGTAATCATCATCACAACCTTTTACAATACCATGTCGTACAGCGTACTGTACGACACCGCATGTAC